AATATTTTAAGCTCCTTCCTGCAGGCACTGAGGAGGTTTTTTGGAGCAGCATCCCTTTATCCTGACAATTGAATTGGTCAGGAATTTTGGCTCTGTTTTTTTCCCTTTTCAGCCCCAAAGTCCTTTCATGGTGGGTAAGTGAGAGCCCAGAACTGCAGCATTAAAGTTCTCTTATTTCAAAAGGTTGTTGGGCCTCTTTTTTCCCCTCTGTAATAAAGTTTATTGCTTCCTCTGCCTTTTCCTGGCATTGGGAAAGGGGGAGATTTCCCCTGGCTGGCTAATTTTGTTCTGTAGAATCTCCAGGCTTAAAAAAAAAACCACCCTAAAAAAGACCTTAAAGCTCTAAAATGTGCTGATGCAGCTAATTTATTTATATAATATCTTAATATGTATATTATATATTTATTGTTATATCTTATTATATATTATATCTTATAATATATTGATATAACATGTAATTATACATATATATTTCTATTTTAGGTAAAATTTAGTAAAATTTTGTGAGTTATATATTATATATAAAATAAGATATTTTTCTATTATATACTATATAAAATATTTGTATTTATTTATCTATAATATAGAATAATATAAAATATAAATTAATAAACATAAGTATCATGGAAATCAGAAAAATATCACCTAAAAATCGATCTAAATCACCTAAAAATAATATATAATTTTTAAAAATATATATAATAATATATAAAATATATATGACCTGCTTTAAAGTTGCATTTTGCCGTAAGAACTTTTAATTCATCCTCATTTATTCCTCAAAAAATGGGAATTCCCAGAGCTTGAAATTACTTGAGGAGCATCAGGACAAAAATTCTTTCTCTGTGGGTTTGATTAGACCCCAGTGGTCAGAATTGATCCTTAAATTCAGAATTGACCCTTAAATTCAGAATTGATTGTTAAATTCAGAATTGAACCTTAAATTCGAAATTGATCCTTAAATTCAGAGTTGATTCTTAAATTCAGAATTGATCTTTAAATTTAGAATGGATCCTTAAATTCAGAATTAATCCTTAAATACAGAAGGATTTTTTGGTGGGCCTGGGATGTTTCCGGGTTTATATTTGGGGCTTTTTCCAGCTTGAACATTCCGTGATTCTTGAGTTTTTCCTTATTTTTGGGAGAGTGATGGTTGAAAGGATGGCTCTGGGGTTGTGGTGGGATCTGTAGGGAAGCAGCTTCCAAGGAGATTTTAGTGGCAGTTATTATTATTATTATATTTTTTATTATTATAGTTAGTTATTCCTGGAGGAAATGCTGGATTATTTGAAAGTTTGATTAAATATTCTGTACATTCCATATTGCTAAACCTGAATAGGCTGTCAGTTGAATTTTGGGAAAGCAAGCCTCAATGAAAAAAAGAAGAAAAAAGCTGCTTATTCCCGTAATCTCTTTTCTCCAGAGCCATATTAAATTCCAATTTCCAGCCTTGCACAGGTGAGGGGGAGATTGAAACCAGTTGCAGGAGATTTATAAAAGCTGTTCCAAAACTCAACTTTTGGCCAACCAGAGCTTTGGCAAAGCGCAGTTCTTTGAGGAAATGGAAAACTGGCAGAAATTTCATCTCATTAACGGATTTTTAAACAAAATGAATTACTTTCCACATGGGGAAAATCCATCCATCCACGATGAGGGATTCTGAATTTTAACCGAAATGTCAGTTGGGGCTGTGAAAGGAATAATGCACTTTTCATTCCGTGTTTTCAGCTCACAAACCCTTCACCAGCGACGCTTTATCGTGTTCATCAGGGATTATTTTCATTCTGAAATCATCCCCGTGTGTGTTTGCTGCAGACACCTCCCATGCCAACATCCTCCCCTGAGCTAAACCATGTTGTGCTTTGCTTTTACAAGATCTCAGATAAAGAACTCGGTAATTTCTTGTAATTAAGGCCAAGTTCTCGTTCCAAGTGGGGTTCTTGAAGGAAACTCTGGTGGTTCAAGATCCGGTGGATGAGTTCACTTTGATTCTGTCATTGTTGCTCCTTGCAGCTGTCTGTCAGCGTGATGTAAAATCCATTTTTCTGGGGTGTGTTGTGCTAATAATAACCTCCCGTGAGGCAAAAAGTGAAAAAACACAGGCTTAACTCAGCAGGGAAAAAAAAAAAGATAAAACTTCCATAGCAAAGAATTTTAAATTTGCAGATCTACAGGAATTTCTGGGGTGCTTTAATCTGTCAGAATACTGACTTTTCCCCACCTTTGCATTTTAAATGTGTCTGTTTGTTTCCTAATGGGGTTTTTGAAGATTTATCCTGTCCACTTCTACACTGGCTGAGTTTTGCAGGAATGTTCTCCAGAGGAAAATATGAGAATGGGGCAGCCAGGGAGCTCTTTTTGCTCTTTTAGCCAAGCTGGAGTTCCTTGGTGGCCTTTGGGATTTGTGGCAGGGCCACGTCAGGTGTTGGGTATTGTAAATGCAGGCGAACCCAATGGGCAGAAATGGCAATGCCTGACTCAATTCAGAAGGCTGGATTATTTCTTTATTATAACTATGCTAAAATACATCAATATACTATATAAAAGGAGGATACTAAAACTACATCCTAATTTCTTTGACTCTAACACAAGTGGTGACCCTCTGAGAGCCCAGCCCCAGGTGGGTTGGTTTGGCCATCAGCTCAAACAATCCTCACAGAATCCAACCAAGCATCACCCAGGGAAACAATTCTCCAAACACATTCCACACAGGAAAAACAAGGAGCAGAAATAGAAATTGTTTTCTCTTTCATTTCTCTCTGTGCACCTCTATGAAAATCCTGAGAGGGAGAGAAATGTGCTTACCACAGTTGGGTTTTACCTTTCCAGCCCCAACCAGAAAATCCCTTTTTGCCTGTGGAACTCTCACGTCCCGAAGTGCAGTTTACCAGAAGCGTTTGCAATTATCTAACAGCACCTGAAAATTGCTTTACTAAATGACAGCAGGAAGTTCCATTTGCATTCCATATCTGCTGTTCAATCTGCTAATCCTCCGCTGAGCCTGCCAGGAAAAACAATGTCAGCAGACTGGAATTTTATTAAAATCAGAAAGCAGGGATGCTGCTTCCCACTTTTCCATCACACCCTGCGAGGTTCCAACCTTCTGGAATATTTTCGTTGCTTCAGCCTTTGTGTTCCTGGTTGTTTTCTTGAAATGGGTTTTAGTCACAAGTTTTTTTTCTAGCACTCAGCCTTTCCCTTTTGGGTTGTCTTCCCTCCCCCAGGAAAGCTGGAGCTCCCTGTTTGCTCCTGTTTATATAAATTAATCTTCCATATTATGACATTTTTCCCCCCTCATTAACGAGAGCTCCTAATTGGGCCTAATGAAACATTTGCTCACTCTGCTAGATAATATTATCTGCCAGCTCGACAGAGATAAGGCGCTGTGAAGAAAACAAGCTTTTGAAAGATTGTGGGTGAGATATGAAAGCCATTTTTTGGGCCAATATTTTCTTCTTTGATGGGATTTGTGGTGCAGCTGTGTAACCAAGCCATGGCAAACAACATCCATTATTTATTGGCCTGCCTGGCAAACAAGGACACCTTTGACTACGTCAGGTTGGGAGGTCGATTTACTGAGCTGTCCCCCTAGCCAGAAAGTCACTTATTTTTTTTGTGTGTGTGTTTATATTCCCTCAAATTTTCCATTTGGCACGAGGGAAAGCGAGAGGAGCCTGGGGGAGGGGAGCAGGGGGGTGCTGGGTCTGTGGCAGACTGGCACGAGTGGAATTGTGCCTTTTATTTCTTTATTTCTGCCCAGGTGCTTCAGCTCCAGTTACAGCCCCTAAAGGCAGAGTTTCCTTCAGCTAGCAGCAAATGCAGGACAAGGAGAGAAGTCTTGGAAAGTGTTGGGATGATTCAATTCCCTCCCTTCCTGCAGAGGAAAATGGAAATAATTTTAAAATGCTTGAAATGCACTGCAATTCTGTAAAATTCTTGATCAGAACTGGGTTGCTCGAGGTATTCCAAGGATATAGTAAGGATATTCCAAGGATTTAAGCATCCCAGGCCAGGTTGGAAGGGTTTGGAGCAAGCTGAAGGTGTGGAAGTGGAACTGGATGAGCTTTAAATTCCCTTCCACCCCAAAGCATCCCGGAATTCCAGAATAAACGGTTATTTACAAGGGATCCAGGAAGGAGAGTGAGGATTTGAGGCACAATAAAGACTTTTCTCATCTCATTGCCAGCATCCCTCAATGATTTTTAAGGTTAGGAGCCCTCTTGGAGTCAGGAAATCTGGATCCCTGGTGAGGTGATTGGGATCAGGGATGTGTGGCTCTGGAAATTGGAGCCTTGGAATGACGTGGAATTCCAGGAGTTGGATCAGCTCCACACATTGGGGAGAACCTGTTTGTTCATCAGCCTCTCCGTGGTTTGTCCTCACTCCCTCAGCTTCCCTTGCTGCTGATCTGTGCTTCTTCAATTTTGGCCATTCCAGAATGTAAGGAAATAGTGAAAAAATCTTTATGGCCGTCTCAATTTTATATAATATATAACAAAAAATATTAATATGCAAGCATTAAAAATGTTTTTATTTTAATATTAAATACTAATATTGAATTGGATGCTAATATTTAATATAAAATTATTTTAAAATAATTTAAATATTTTATATCAGTATTAATTACCTATTATTAATGTATTATATTTTGGGCAGAATCCTGGGGAAAGTTGGGATAGCTCTGAAATGGGAACGTTCATGGTGTGGTCCCACCCAGCTCATCCCCTCTGTAGTGGTTTTCTGGGAAGAAACTCAGGGATGGACTGAGCCTCATTCCTTCACTTTTTGTCTTTTATTTGTCTTTCCTGGCACTGGAATATCACAGGAAGGAGGGAATTTCAATTTCTGCAGTGCCCCAGCACTCAGTAAGAGACACATTGTGTAGTTCAAGTACTCCTTTGGATATTTTGTTATAAAAGCCTAATTTTTATTTTAATTTAATGCTTGTTTGTTTCTTGAAAATAGAATTTTGGTGATTTGTTGCTGCTTGTTCTCCACAGATTCTTCTGCCTAATCCTTCTGATCCTGGGCTGCAGCCAGAAGAAATCTGGACCATCCTATGGAAAACAGTGTTGGAAGTACACAGGGAGCGGAGGTAGGCTGTGATTTTGGAATATCTCCTGGAATACATCCATAAAGCCAAGGTTTAATCAGCAGATCTCAAGCAGCGTGGTTAAATTCACAATAAAACTCACAATTCCTAAAATTCTTTTGTTTGCTTGGTTGACCAAATGGTCTCTACTGGAAAAGGAAAAACCCCAACTAATCCAAAAAATGCAGGGAAAAAGGGGAAATTCCTGGAATTCTCTGCTGAGCAGCATTTCCAGCCTGGCCAGGGTGTGCCTGGAAATTTGGAGGGAATGCCTTTGGCTCTGGTTTGGCAGGAGCCTCCAGTCCAGCTTGTTTGTCCTGCTGGGAATTTGCATGGGAGGAGTGAGGTTGTGATTTGTAATATCTGAACCAGGCTCCAGGGTCGCTGGAATTCGCCACAATTCCCTGTGTTTGTCTGGAGGTGTGGAAATCTAAATATGATTTAAAATCTAAATAGATTTAAATATGATATATGAACCTGAGGAAAGTGTTCAGTTCTTCTCTCTGAAGCCTTGGCAGAGCACCCCGGGAGCCCCAAATAAATGGATTTTTGGGTGATTGCACCTCATCCCTGTGAACTTTCCACCCTGCCCTTCTCCAAAACATCTGTGCCATCTTCCTTAGCATTCCCCTGGGATGCACTTAAAAAGAAATAAATTCAATTTACACTTAAAAGTTTTAATGCTGTGACAGTGCAAAGTGCACTTAAAAGCCAGATGATGAAATTAAATTTATTTATCTCAGGTAAGGGATTGGTTGTTGTTGTTAAAATTGAGATTTCTCTGCGTTTAGCGCTGTTTATTCCACACTGTTTCAAGTTGGATCTATGCTGATTTTTAGGGATTCTTTCAAGGAATTTTTAAGGCTCAGGAGAACAATTAGGTGAAAGCAATAAGGTGAATTTGAGTTTATTTTGTGAGTCCCAGCCCTCTGTGATGGGTTCTGGCCAGCAGAAGGCACCACCAGCTCAGCTTTGCGCCGCTCGGCAGCTCGCCGGCATTCCCGGCTGGATCTCCACGCTTCCAGCAGGATTTCGCCGGGAATTCATCACCCCACACCTCAGATCCTCACAATTCCCACTCAATAATGTGTTCCCTTGTTTTTCCAGGCCTGAGGGTTTGGGATTTCCCTGGGCAGTGATGCCCGCGATGGGAGCGTCGTGGTGCGCGCTGGCCGGAGCCCTTCTCCCGTTCCTCATCCTCTCAGGAAGTTGGGTTTCAGCTGAGAACATCAACTTCTACAACATCAGGCCTCCACTGGACCGTAAGTAGATTTTTTTATGCAATTCTGGCCTTTTCTGATGGAATTCTGGCCTTTGCTGTATGGAATTCTAGCTTAAAATTGTAATTATTTGCCCTGTCCTTCCAGTCCCTTGGGTTTCGGCTACTCGTCTCCAAAGAAACTTTAAAATAAATATTCTGCTTCTCAACCCACAGCACTTTATCCTTAATATTTAAAATTGTAATTATTAATATCCTTAATATTTAAAATTGTAATTATTTGCCCCATCCTTCCAGTCCTTTGGGTTTCGGCTGCTCGTCTCCAAAAAACCTTTAAAATAAATATCTTGCTTGTCAACCCACAGCACTTTATCCTTAATATTTGACAGATCGACTAAATGAAAGTAAATCAGATCATTGCCAAATTAAAGAGTGTACAGGGATTTTGGCATTTTAAGGGCTTTCCTTGTATTATTTCTGTCTCCCTGCAGAGGAAATTATGCAGCGGTTTCCTTGTAAATAATCCAGAACAGGTGGTTTTGGTCTTTTATCTTGTTGGGGGTTTTGTAAGGGGAGGAATAGGTGTTGCTGCATGCAATTAATTCACTCTGAAAGTAATTAAAAACCTCGTGGGACCTGTGAAGCCAGGTGGCACTAATGGCATCATATTTTTTTTTTTTTTTTTTTTTTTGCCTCTTATCTGGCATCAGCAGTGTTCCATGCCTTCATTTGCATTATCTGCATCGTTAAACCAGCCAGGAAATAATAGCTGGAAATAATACCTGCCCTTAATGAACCCTGCACCTTCCAACAAGTCATTGAAATAATAGAAATAAGATTTTAAAAAGACCTTTTGTTTAAAGGTCTCCTTCCGAGTGGGAGATCAAGCTCTGGAGCTGCTTTGGAAATGCAGTTTTTCCATCAAAGGAAAATGTAGATTTATGTTTACTCCATGAGGAGGGAGATAAACTCTTCCCTCTTTCCTGCTTTTCCCACCACTGCCTCGATTTTGGATTATGAGAGTGAAAACATGAGGATATACGTCGAGTTCAAGCCTAGAGGGGGAAAAAAAGCTTTCTGCAAAACTTGTTCTATTTGTCTAACAGTGAAAAGATGTAAATATTTGTAATTTATTTCTGTAAATACATGCGCGTACAAGCGTCATTTTAAATATTTTAATTTTTTTCTCAATACTTCCCAACTGACTGTATTTTAATACTTTTTTTTTTTTAACCCTTTCCAAGCCACACCATTCCCAAACAGTTTCAAGTGCTTTACCTGTGACAACGCAGTGGACAACTACAACTGCAACCGATGGGCTGAGGACAGGTGGTGTCCTGAGAGTGAGTAAGGCTGGAGGAGGAGATCCTCGTGAGATTTAAATTTGCTTTTCCCTGACTCACCCCCTTGGAAAAGCCTGGCTCCTTCCTGGCATTCATGTGCCAGCACAGTTTTGGTGTTGGTGATGCTGAGTCAGGTGATTTCTGCTGACATGACAATTTTGGCCATTCCAGAACGTAAAGAAACAGTGAAAAATTATTTCTCTCCATCTCTCTCAGTTTTATATAACAAAAAATTGCAAGCAATTGAATTAATGTTACTATTTTAATATTAAATTAAGTATTAATATTGAATTGAATGTTTATATTTTAATATAAAATTATTTAAAATAATTTTAATATTTTATAACAAATCAGTATTATTTCCCTACTATTAATGTATTATTAATATATTAATTATATTATAGCCTATATTATATATATGTTTCCCTGTGTATCTACACGATGATATGCTTTCCAAGAGTTAATTTTAATCTTGTTTAAAAAACCTGAAGAATTTAATTGTTATTCTCTTCAGAGTGTAAAGCAACAGTGAAAAATTCTTTATCTCCATCTCTCTCAGTTTTATATAATATATAACAAAAAATACTAATATACAAGGATTTTAAATAATGTTAGTATTTTAATATTAAGTATTAATATTGAATTGAATGTTAATATTTTAATATAACATTATTTTAAATAATTTTAATATTTTTAATACATCAGGATTAATTACCTATTATTAATATGTTATATTTTATAATACAATACCATATAATATATGTATGTGTCCTGTGTATCTACATAATGATGTGCTTCCCAGGAGTTAATTTTAATCTTGTTTAAAAAACCTGAAGAATTTAATCTGTAGCTTTATTCTCTTCAGAGCATAAAGAAACAGTGAAAATTTCTTTATCTTCATCTCCCTCAGTTTTATGTAATATATATCAAAAATATTAATATACAGATTTTTAGTAGTACATCCATATTAATTACCTATATATGTTTCTCTGTGTATATATATATATAATGATGTGCTTCCCAAGAGTTAATTTTAATCTTGTTTAAAAAACCTGAAGAATTTAATCTTTATTCTCTTCAGAGTGTAAAGCAACAGTGAAAAATTCTTTATCTCCATCTCTCTCAGTTTTATATAATATATAACAAAAAATACTAATATACAAGTATTTTAAATAATGTTAGTATTTTAATATTAAGTATTAATATTGAATTGAATGTTAATATTTTAATATAACATTTTAAAATAATTTTAATATTTTATAATACATCAGTATTAATTACCTAATATTAATATATTACATTTTATAATACAATACCATATATTATATGTATGTGTCCCTGTGTATCTACATAATGATGTGCTTCCCAGGAGTTAATTTTAATCTTGTTTAAAAAAACCTGAAGAATTTCCTCTGTAGCTTTATTTTCTTCAGGGTTGTAAAGCAACAGTGAAAAATCATTTATATCCATCTCTCTCAGTATCATATAATACATATAAAATACTAATATACAGGTTTTTAATAATAGATCAATATTAATTACCTATGTTTCTCTGTGTGTCTGTATAATAATGTGCTGCCCAGGAGTTAATTTTAATCTTGTTTAAAAAACCTGAAGAATTTCCTCTGTAGCTTTATTCTCTTCCCTTTGGATACCACCCCAAAATTTCCTGTTCTTTGTGGGCAGCAGGACCTGCCTGACTGGGGATCACACCTGTGCTGGGGAGGATAAAACTCAGAGAAGAATGGGAATGTTTCCTCATTTTTCACCCCGCTGACACTCACGGGAGCGGTGGGAAAGGGGAAGAAGCAAAGCGGAGGAATGAGGAAACAAACCTGAAACCACCCAGGAACGTGCTGCCAAAAGGAGGAGAGAAATAAAAATAAACGTGTGGATGATGGTGCTAATTAGTGATTTCAATCAAAGCAGCCTTGCTGGAGGTTTGAAGGATTTCGCAGTAATTGATTCCTTGCTAAATGCTGTTGATGAAGTTGCAAACAGTTCTGAGGAGCCATTTTCTGGGAATGTTCTCCTGAGCTGAGTGTAGGAAAAATGTAGGAACTGTGTGTAGGAACAGCATTTTGCAAAGGTGCTCCAAAGGATCAATCAGGGACTCAAAATCCGCCGTTGTTTTGGCAGGCGCTCGCTACTGCCTGGCCGCTCACCTGTTCACGGCGCGTGGGGAGAGCACCTCGGTCACCAAGAGATGCGCCACGGGCGAGGAGTGTCACCGCGTGGGCTGCCACCGCCGCGGGGACAGCGGCCACACGGTCGGTGCTGCGCGGCCTGTTCTGCTCCTGATCCTGAGCTGCTCCTGCTCTACTCCTGCTCTGCTCCTGCTCTGCTCCCACTCCTGAGCTGCTCCTGAGCTGCTCCTGCTCTGCTCCTGCTCTGCTCCAGTTTTGCTCCTGCTCTGCTCCAGTTCTGTTCCTGCTCTGCTCCTGCTCCTGTGCTGCTCCTGCTCTACTCGTCCTCTGCTCCTGCTCTGCTCTAATTCTGCTCCTGCTCTGCTCCCACTCCTGAGCTGCTCCTGCTCTGCTCATACTCTGCTCCTGCTCTGCTCCTGCTCCTGCTCTGCTCATACTCTGCTCCTGCTCTGCTCCTACTCCTGAGCTGCTCCTGCTCTGCTCATACTCTGCTCATACTCTGCTCCTGCTCTGCTCCTGCTCTGCTCTAGTTCTGCTCCTGCTCTGCTCTAGTTCTACTCCTTCTCTGCTCCTGTGCTGCTCCAGTTCTGCTCCTGCTCTGCTCCTGCTCTACTCATACCCTGCTCCTGCTCTACTCCTGCTCTGTTCTGAGCTGCTTGTGCTTTGCTCGTGTTCTGCTCATGTCCTGCTCTATTCATATTCTACTCCTGCTCTGCTCTGCCCTACACCTGCTCTACTCCTGCTCTGTTCTGACCTGGTCGTGTTCTGCTTGTGTTCTGCTCATGTCCTGCTCCTGCTCTGCTCCTGCTCTACTCATACTCTACTCCTCTCTGCTCTGCTCTCCTTCTGCCCTGCTCCTGCCCTGCTCCTGCTCTACTCTGTCTCTGCTCATACTCTACTCCTGCTCTGCTCTGCCCTGCTTGTGTTCTGCTCATGTCCTGCTCCTGCCCTGCTCCTGCCCTGTTCCTGCTCTACTCATACTCTACTCCTGCTCCTACCCTGCTCATGTCCTGCTCCTGCCCTACTCCTGCTCTACTCATACTCTACTCCTGCTCTACTCTGCCCTACTAAATGCGCATTTCTCTCTCAAAACCACCCTGAATTAACCCCCCTGAATCAATTAATTACCCTGAATTAACTACCCTGAGCTAACGACCCTTTTCTCGCGGCAGGAGTGTGTTTCCTGCTGCGAAGGCATGATCTGCAACGTGGAGATCCCCACCAACGCCACCAACGCGGTGTTCGCGGTGCTGCCGGCGCGCAGGACGGCCGCGGGCAGCCGCGCACGGCCCAGCCTGGCGGCACTGGTGGCACTGGTGGCACTGGTGGCACTGGTGACAATGGCGCTGTCCTGACACAGCACCCCCAGACAGAGCTGCTGGGACAGTCCCCGCGCCAGGAACCTCCGGGATCTCCAAGGAGAAGTCGCTGATGTTCCCTCATCCCAGCAAATTTAAGGAAAAGACATCCTGAGCTCCTTGGGTGTTTTGGTGGGAATCCTTCCCGTCAGTATTGAAAATAAACCCCACAAAAACCCCCTGCTGGGTGGGGCAGTGGGGTGGACTCGAGTTTTGGTTCCCTGTTTCCTGAGGAAAATGCACATTTTTTTGGGTTTTGGGACGGAACCGTGACAATCACAGTCAAAAGGAGCTTTGGGTGGATGATGTGGAAAGGTGGGAACTGGATTTAAATCTTTGATGTGCATAAACAGCTCAGAGTTTCTTATCAAGGTGTGTTTGAGATGATCTTGATTTCACAGAGAGCACCTCTGGTTTTCATAGAGAGCAAGTATGAGGTTGGTTTTTTTTCTGCTTGATTGGAGCTCTCATTTTTCCTGGCTATAATACAAAATTAATTACTTTCTTTCTGTAAAATGTCTCATCCTCCTCCTGTTTAAAGCTGTGGGAAATGTAGAATTCCTAAAAAATCCTGTTGGAGCACCCAGAGGAGAATTCCTGATCTTGCAAAGCAAAGGGATTATTTCCTTAAAATTGAGTGTCCCCTCAGAATATCACAAAAATATTATTTTTGTGATATTGGGATATCATGACTTTGAAATTGCAGCGACTGCCAAGCAGCTTCATTATCCTAAAAATTCCAAGTGGACACTTGGAGGAGGGAGCACTGCTGTGTTTTCTCTTGATTTGCACAGGTTTTTCCCAGGCATATTACAGTCTTGATGGATGTTTTCAGGAAGGATGGATCACTTAAACTGACTCAAAAAAGAGATTGGGAGCTGTTCCCTGAAAAATATGAGTAGCTACAAATTTGGCTTCTTTTACATGGATATTACCTTAATTATTTGCTGGTTTGTGTGATTAATTATATTCAGTTGTTAAAAAGATTCTGAAATAGCTCCAGACTTGTTGACATTCCAAAATTTCCTCCACAATATTCTTAGGATGCAGAAAGGTTCTGAATTCAGTCTGTGGCTTCTGGATGGGTGATTGTGCAGCTACAAAATTTGGATGGAAAAGGTTTTTCCTTGACGAAGGAAAATAGTTCTTGATATCTGAGTCAAGGTTTTCCAAGATCTGGATTCTCATGGATCTCTCTCATTTCTCAATATCTGGATTTTCCTTTTCCATATCTGGATTCTGTGCCATCTAACAGGGCTGGAATTCTGCTCTGGAGCTGGGCTGGGAGAGCTGGGAATGTTCCCCTGGAGAAGGGAAGGATCCTTCAGGATTTTCAGATCTCTGTCTTAAAAACTTAAAAAAAAAATTACTGGATTTGATAAATCAATTTTCAGTGATGTCCTTGTCTCAGTTTGGGTTCAGATGTTGCAATTTAAATTGCAAGTGTTGTAATTTAAATATATTCAACTTTTAATTGATAAAACAAATTTTCAGTGATGTCTTTATCTCACTTTAGGTTCACAGATGTTGTAATTTAAATATATTCAACTTTTATTTGCCTAAATTCACTCCATAACTTTGGGAATAATTTTTCTGTAAATCCATAACTTTTTGAACCTGAAAATAATTCATATATAATGGCAAATCCATCTGTTTGTGCAGTTAAATGTATTTTTTATGATGTATATCTGTATGAAATATGATTTTTATTTACATTGCACTGGACAGCCTGTAGAAGGTTTATTTTTAAAACTTAAATGCTGATAATTCTTCATTATCCAGTGTTTGGATGTTTTCTTATTGCTGTGTAACTGCTTTGAGTTTTCTCCAGAAATGGCACTTTTAATAAAAAATATTCAAATATTTTCTGGTGGAGAACATTTCTCGTGACAAATATTGCACGGTAAAATCTTAATTTAAGTTAAATTTAAATTCAATGCTCTGACTTCAGCATAATTTAAATTTCCTTTTCTTTGCTGTATTCCAGGATTATTTTGGGGAGTATTTACCCTGCCTTCTTGAGGATCCTGTTACAGACCCTTTGTGCCCAGAGATGTTTAAAAAACTTGAAGAAAATTTAATTTTATTTGCATTTCTTAAGTTCTGATTGCTGGAATCATTGCTAAAATAATTGTAGTTTTATAGTATTTTAATGAAAATAAAATGAAATCTAATTTAATCTGCTTTTGGTATCAAGGAGAGGCAGAAAAAGCAGATGCAGGTTGGGGTGAGAGTGGGAAAACAGAAAAGAAAAATATATTGAATATTCAGAATTATTTTTGAATATTTAAAAGGGAAATTATTTAAGGGTTTAAAGGTCACCTCACAAAGTTCATTTGGGGCAATTTGTCCCAGTTTCATTGTGGGTTGTTGGGGATTTTTATTTTTAAATATAGTGGGGATATTTAAACTGAGGGGATATTTGTGGGATATTTATCTTAGTATTTTTTTAGGGGGTTTTTTAATATGTATTTAATTTTTTATGGACTGTGTAATAATTTGGAGGTTTTATAATTTATATTTATCTTTGATAATTTAATTTTTTTTTTTACTTTTTGTCATTTTTAAAGTTTTGGAGAGTATTTTCAAATTATTTTTTTTTTGTATCTCAGTTTTTTACTTTTATTTTTCAGTGGCTTTGAAACATTTTTTATCGTTTTTCTTTCTTCTCTTTTTTAACCTCTTTTATAAATTTTAGTTTTTGCTTCTTTTTTCTTTGTTTCCTTTCCTTTTTTCTTCCTTTTTGGGTTGGTTTTAACCTCATTTTCTGATTTAACAGGACAATGAAGAGCAGTGGGGACATCCAATATCCATAAATATTCTGGAAATCAAAAAAACATGGAAAACACAAAACTGCTGGAGAAACAACAATAACAACAACAACAACAACAACAACAACAAATATATTGAATATAATTGATATAAATATATTGATAGATTAATAATACAATGTAGCAATAATATGTATTATTAATTTAATAATAATTATATTAATCCTAGTGAATTATAATAAGAATATTAACCTATGTAGGAGGAGGATGATTTTTTTTTTCTTTAATTATTATTTTAATTCGGATTTGTTTGATTTTTTGGGAGAGTTCCTGACAAGGTTTTTTAGTGTTTTGTGGGGTTTTTGTGTGCCTTTTTTATTTAATGGAAAGAAGCAGGAAGATTGGTTAGGCTCAGGTTAGACCTAAGAAAAAGGATCTAAAATAAATGTGGAAAAAAGAATCTAAAATAAATGTGGAAAATCCTGCTGAAAAAGGGGGATTGGGAATGTGCAGGAATTAGGAGAGGAGGAGAAAGGGATCTGGGTTTGGTCATCCCAGTTTGGGATCTGGGTTTGGTGATCCCAGTTTGGGATCCAGGTTTGCACATCCCAATTTGGGATCTGTGTTTGCACATCCCAGTTTGGGATCCGGGTTTGCACATCCCAGTTTGGGATTCAAGTTTGCATATCCCAGTTTGGGATCTGGGTTTGCACATCCCAGTTTGGGATCTGGGTTTGGGATTTGGGTTTGCACATCCCAGTTTGGGATCTGGGTTTGGGAGTTGGGTTTGCACATCCCAGTTTGGGATTTGGGTTTGGTCATCCCAGTTTGAGATCTGGGTTTTGGGATCTGGATTTGCACATCTCAGTTTGGGATCTGGGTTTGGTCATCCCAATTTGGGATCTGGATTTGCACATCCCAGCTTGGGATCAGGGTTTTCACATCCCAGTTTGGGATCTGGGTTTGGGATTTGGGTTTGCACATTCCAGTTTGGGATCTGGGTTTGAGATCTGGGTTTGCACATCCCAGTTTGGGATCCGGGTTTCCAGATCCCAGTTTGGGATCTGGATTTGCTCATCCCAGTTTGGGATCTGGGTTTGCACATCCCACTTTGGGATCCAAGTTTGCACATCCCAGTTTGGGATCTGGATTTGGTCATCCCAATTTGGCATCTGTGTTTGCACATCCCAATTTGGGATCTGTGTTTGCACATCCCAGTTTGGGATTAGGGTTTGGTCATCCCAGTTTGGGATCTGGGTTTGGTCATCCCAGTTTGGGATCCAAGTTTCCACATCCCAGTTTGGGATCCAGGTTTCCACATCCCAGTTTGGGATCCAAGTTTGCACATCCCAGTTTGGGATCTGGGTTTGGGATCTGTGTTTGCACATCCCAGTTTGGGATCTTTCTTTGCACATCCCAGTTTGGGATCCAAGTTTGCACATCCCAGTTTGGTATCTGGGTTTGGGATCTGGGTTTGGGATTTGGGTTTCCACATCCCAGTTTGGGATCCGGGTTTCCACATCCCCGTTCCTCTGACACTCAGCGGAGCAGAGAGTGCAGCTGCTGCTCCCGGAGCCACTTTAATTCCCAAAAATCTTTTTCCAGGGGAATTCCTGCCGGCAGCAGGAGCGCTCCCGTCTGTCAGCAGCCCTTCCCCAGCTGTCATCCCCCTCAGCTCCCTGCAGCTCCTCTGGAATTTGCTGTCCTGGGGCCAGGAATTTCGGAGCTCCCCCTGTGACCCCCAGCCCTGGCTGCCATCAGCCCTGAAAATCTCTCTGCCCTCAGTCCAGATGATTTTGGAGATGGTAAAAGTGGCTGGATTTCAGTGGGGTTTTAATTTTTAATTTTTTTTTGTTGTTATTTTACTGTTAGGAAAAAAAAACAAACCAAAAAGTTGGGGAGTAACTGATTGGAGAAGGGTATCAGTGGTTTGGATAACAGAAAAATCTGATGGATAAAAATAAGGAAAAGCTTCCATAAACATCCAGAGTGCTGCTGAAATGGAGCCTAAACACCATTCCAGACATCTTTGGGTCCATCCCCCTCACGATGGAGGTTCCAGAACTCTCCTTGTCTTCATTCCCTTCGTTTCTGCACCTCATTCCCATGTCTTGATTGATTACTCCAATTTTTTATCTTTTTGTTTTTATCTTTTTGTTTTTGTTTTTGTTTTGGGTTTTGTTTTTGGTTTTTTGTTTTGGTTTTGGTTTTGTTTTGGTTTTGGGTTTTTGTTTTTGTTTTTGTTGCTGTTGCTGTTGTTGTGATGGGTCTGAAGGCACCTTTTAAACCCAACAGAAATCCTTGCAGGCTCTTTTTGGGCTCTTTTTGGGTTCTTTTCGGGCTGTTTTCAAGCCCTTTTCAGGCCCTTTTCACTCCCTTTTTAGACCTTTTTCTGGTTCTTTTTATGCCATTTTCAGGCCCTTTTCAGGCTCTTTTCACTCCCTTTTTAGCCCATTTTCAGGCTCTTTTTAAGATCTTTTCAGGTCCTTTTCAATGACTTTTCAGGCTCTTTTCATGTTTTCTTCAGGCCTTTTTTAGGCCCTTTTAAAGGCCCTTTTCAGGCTCTTTTCAGGCCCTTTTTGGGCTCTTTCCAGACCATTTCCAGGCCCTTTTTAGGCCCTTTTTGGGCTCTTTTCAGGCTTTTTCCAGGCTCCTTTTAGGCCATTTTCAGGCCCTTTTCAGGCTCTTTTTTGGTTTTTTTTAGGTTCTTTTAAGACTTCTTTCAGGCTCTTTTTATGCCCTTTTCAGGCTTTTTTTACGCCCTTTTCAGGCTCTTTTTGGCTCTTTTTTGGTTCTTTTTTGGCTCTTTTTTTTTTTTGGCTTTTTTTTTTTGGCACATTTTTTTTTTTTTGGCTCATTTTTTGGCTCTTTTTTTTTGCTCCTTTTTGGCTCCTTTTTGGTTCTTTTTTGGCTCTATTTGGGATCTTTTTTGGTTTATTTTGGGTTCTTTTTTGGTTCTTTTTTGGTTCTTTTTTGGATCTTTTTTAGCTCTTTTTTTTTTGCTCTTCTTTTTTTGCTCTTTTTTGGCTCTTTTTTGGCTCTTTTTTGGTTCTTGTTTTGGCTCATTTTTTGGCTCTTTTTTGGCTCTTTTTTGCTCTTTTTTAGCTCTTTTTTGGCTCTCTTTTGGCAGTTTTTTGGTTCTTTTTTGGCTCTATTTGGGATCCTTTTTGGCTTATTTTGGGTTCTTTTTTGGCTCTTTTTTGGTTCTCTTTTGGTTCTTTTTTGGCTCTTTTTTGGGGTTTTTTTTGGCTCCTTTTTGGCTCTTTTTTGGCTCTTTTTGGGTTCTGTTTCCCAAACCCCAAGCCATACATGCAACAAGGACACGTGGCCTTTATTCTGCTTTTTTCCCTGCCCAAAAGCTGGAGGCCAACATCTCTCAAGAAGGGAAGAATTAATGTGAGGCCTCAGGCTAAAAACTCTCAGGTTTCCTTTCCCCTCACAAAGTGAAGCAAAAGGAGCCATCTGCCAAAAAACCCCGAAACTTCACAAAATAAACTGGGAGGGTTGTAAGGAAAATCACTTTGGAGGGGGGGAAAAAAAGCTATTTTTGTTTTATTGTCATGGCTAGCTTTGGTTTTTCACCAGAAAGTGCCTCTGCAGGTAAAATAATGAATTAAAATAGAATATTTTTTTAAATCCCATTTGTTTCTCCAAACTGCAAGTCTTATCATTATTTTGTGCCTCTTTTCTGGGGTTTTATTAGGGATTTTTGGTCCATTTAACCAGATTTCACCAGAGTTAACAGCATCAAAACTTATCTTGCCCTGATGTCCAGATCCAGCTTTTTAAATCCCTGATACTCTCAAGGATTAAGCAGTAATTGAACCTCTGGAAAAGCTTCTCTTCATAAAGATTTTGTGGGGAAAAAACCCTAAAATGAGTGGTTTGAATGTTTGGGTAATTCTAATTCTTCTCCTGCAGTTGCACTGTGTAATTAGCTCTATATTTGCTCTCTCTAAAGTAATATTTGCTTGTTAGAAGGGATATATTAGAAGGCAATCAGCCTGGTTTAATTAACAATTAATAAATGTGATTTTATGTTACAAAAGTGTTAAAAATGTCCATAAAGAATAACGTTAAAATGTTAATAAT